TAAAATATTAAAATTATTGTAAAGTTATGTCATAAGTATCATAAGTGGTTTGTGTTCTGCTTAACTTTTGCCTCTTAAGAATACTACCCATTCGCAAACTGTATTTGAAAAAGTTAATGGAGGCTTGCTTATAAAAACATAGATTCCCTGTATGTTAAATTCTTTTTTTAATTCATGAGTAAAAAATGGACAGCTACTCTATGCAGGAAATGACACATTTTGATGTTTGCAACAGTGTATGTAATCTGATTGTTCTTAAATTTGATATCTATTTGCAAAATTCAGTCCAATATTTTGATGTTACTTGTATACTCACAAAAAAATACATGTTTCTACTTTTTTGAGTTGGCATACTGATAATGAGAGCTGGTTATGCTATACATCTCCTATTTAGTTAGTCTATAATAATGATAATGTTCATTAGAGAAGAGTGTATTTTAAGAGTTACCACTTCAAAAAGTTTCTGAAATGCAAATGCAGTTCTTTCATTTTGTGTGGCCAAATTGTTGCAATCTGGAATATATAGATCTTTTTCCACTAATGTGCAGAATAAAATGCATCTTAGATAATTAACTATGACAGGACATACAATACTGAAAAAAAAAAAAATAAATGATACCCTAGTGAATATTTGTGTGTGCCTATGTGTAAATATTGAAGATACATTACTTATTCAAAATTTTCTCCACAACCATTTTAAAATTAGTATTTTGCTTCAAAGATGTTTCTTCAAATTATATTAAATGAATAAATTAAGTATATGTATGTAAATGCCTGCATTTTTGTTAGTAACAGTTTGCAAAAGGAAGTAGATTCAACCGTTAAACAACTGGAAATGGTAAATAATCTGGCAGTTTCCTTTAGACGCTAATGGAAACTAAAAGCTTTTCAAATGACAGAAATCTCACCAACTTTGGTGATTCATAGGCCCATTTTTGTTACACAGGTTGATCATATAGCTGACAGTTTTCCCTTTGCGTGACTCTCTCCTGTAAATTATTGTACTGTGTTATCTGAGTGAAAAGCCATTAGAGTTGTGGGGAAGAATATGACAGCATCTCTTCAAGGGATTAAAGCAATTCCCAACAGTAAATGTACAATTTTCCCACACTCCCTCCTCCTCTTTTTTCTAGCAGCTTCCAATGGAAGTCACAAAATTTAATCCTCAAAGAAAATGTACTACTATTGTGAACCATTTCAAAACTGTCTCATACACTGAAATTTATTTTTGCACAATTGTATTTCTTCATGATACAGTGATTTCCATTTACTACTTTCTGCTTTATACATGCTGAAATGAAGGAGAGTTGGTCTGTTGTATGACACGATGTGTATTATATTAAATTGCAGCTTCTAAAACAGCACAGATTGCAGGATACTTTTTGGTCACTCAGTGCCAAGTCTAATGAAATATCTATTTAGCTTTGACTGCTTTCCTTACCACTGTTTTGACAGTAGCCATCCCTGTAAGTGCTCTCCCTATCAGGCTCCAGTAGCTTGAATGCAACCTGATCTCTGTTTTGTATAAATGTGTTGTCTGCTGAGCTAGAGAACACTTGCATTAGCTACATTGATCAATCCACATACTTCTCATCATTTAGTAGACAATTAATACTGCCGTGTAAAGACTCCCCAGAGCACTTGGTTAGAGCTGGATCGCTTTACACAAAAACCACAGGAGTTGTACATGAAAGGAGAAAAAAATCTAGCTAGGGGGAAAAAAAAGAAAAGCATGAGAAAGCAACCATAGACCAAATTACGCTGTAATTCAGTGGTTGAGCTTCCAGCCTGATGCCTCTGAAATTATATTGCTTTCTGTTGAAATACTATGTAAAAGTTCCATCCTGCAAGTTGATGGGAGATTGGCTTTTGTTTTCATTGTCTTTTAATTTTATTTTGACAGTATTATAGTGAAAAAAAGAACATCATAATACTGAACACATCATTGTATCTGATGTTTCTGAAATATGTATGCTTTGTTTTTACAGCCATATAACTTGTTGCCAAAAGTGCTGTTAAAATGCATTATAATATGAAATTAAAGGGTTTGGATAGGATGGGCTTTTTAAAAAAAAAAACCACACACTGATTCACCTGTTTTAGTCTTAATTTAAGCAAATACTTCAGTAGAGGGATGATCAGTGTGATGTAATTCATTGCTGTGGGGCAAACGGTGCTTAATGCAGGTGTTGACTGATCTGTTTTTTAAAACCATTTGCATTTTATGCTGGTTAATGTTTCATCTTTAGAGACCATAAGAAATTAAATAAGATACATTTACTAAGAAGGGGCAATGTGCTCATGCAGTGGATAAGGTACCTACTTTATAGACTTCTGTTTCATTGTGTGGCTGAAAGAATAGCTTTTGTAGGTTTGTTATGCTCCCTCCTTTGGTAAGGGCAGAGCCAAAGATATAGATTAGGTCTCTTTCTGCTCTGCTTAGAGGTGCACATTGCACATGACTCCAAACAAATTATAAAATGATAATATAGGTCAATGTGATTTGTCCTTATTTCAAAAATATTTGTAAACATGATAGAATATGTTTTGTCATGTATATTTGGGATTCCTCTAAACTGTAGTGTTGGCTTGTTTTTATAAAGTAGACAGCTGAATTTGTAATCAAATTTTCATTTTAATGGGACATGTCTAGCCCTCTCATTCTGTTCCAAATTAAGTATTTTCGAAGAAAAGAAATAGAAATTATTAATTTGAGCATGTTTGAATTTCTGAGAGCCTGAACTGTTGCATTTTGAAAGTTACAGATTCAAAGCAGTTGATTTGATCAGTTACATAGCCTAACTTTTTCAACTGAAAGTCGTTAAAATAGCAAACAATTTCTTTTCTCCTTTATTTAAACCTCAGTAGACTCCCATTTGCTTGTTTCAAAAAATGGAGTGAATTTGATGGAGCCTTTTTGAATGACAGGGTAACATGCAGTGTGGGGCCGTGTATGGTTTATTATGCAGTGTAGGGCAGGTGAATGATACTATTATTTATATCGCAAAAATAGATTGAGAATGCATTTAGAAAGTTACTAACTATACAAGAAAAGACCAGATATTTAGTTATGCTCTAAGGTGACAGTTAGCAATCTTTTCTGGCAGCAGGCTGGAATAACCCAGTTCAGTCCAAAGTGGATTGGTTCTAGGACTCAGCTGCCACTGCTTTTCCCTGCTGCAGTATGACCCAGCAAAGCATCCTGCTGCTAACCCCCCACCCCATCCCTGAATGCTGACAAAACCCCAGCTCTGCAGGCCAGATCTAGCCTGTGGGCCATACATTGCCAAGTCCTTCTCTAAAGTTAAGTCAGACAAAGCCATCAGCTGAGAAGAATATAGCCATCAAAACTTTTTTTTTCTCAGAAATGAAGTATTAAATGAAGTCTTTCTTCTGGGGGAAGTGAAAACTTCATGTGTGTATGTTTAGCAGCCTATTGATGGATCCAATCAAGAAATTGGACCCCAAAATAGTAATTCTTGGAAGTTTAGACTTGAAAGACTCTTTCTGGAAAATGTTGATACCTTAATCATCATTGAAGCCATTGGTTTTATAGTCATGCCTACAATCTTTAATTATGGATCAGACCTAATTCTGCTGAGCATTATACCCATACATAATGAAAATATAGCTTTTGTCTTGGTTTGAGGATTCAGCAGGTCATACACCAAGAATGTGAAGTCAAAGATGAAGTTGAATTATTGTGATGCTAGGAAGAAGAAGAGGCAGAAACTGGAAGTGGTAGGAAAGAGGACTTTCGTATAGCAAGAGACTGGAGAGAAGGGACAAATTGCTGTTCATAGGCACAGTATGCCTGGGAATCAGTGGTGGATGGTACTAGACCTAGCAGGCTGAGGAGAACCCATGTGCTAACTCAAGGTGAAGAATGGCTTGAGGGCTGTTCTGCTTAAGGGAATCATTCTCTCTGTAGTTCAGAAATGGTTGTGATTTCTCCCTGAAGACCTGATACTCTGACATACAGAATACATATTTAATTTGTCAGGTGGGTTAAATATCCATCAGTATATTTTCTCTGGCATTCTCACTTATTTGGGGAACAGGAGTATGGAGGATTCAGTATAAGCCGTAAACATAAACCAGAGGTACTGAAACTGCCATCTACAGAGAGCTGGCCAGTTGTATGGTGCTGATTTTCATTGTATCCAGGTACTAAATCTTGTTAAAGGACAACTGAAACTACTTTATCTAGATTCTAAATGATACTTTTTGTGTGTTCAGTAAATATTTGTTGTAGGTGTTATTGAGGTGTTAATAAGACATAAATGGACTGGAAGACAGGCTGGATTCTCAAGACCAGGAAAGAAAATTGCCTTGAAAATAATTCCACATAAACTGTAACCTATAGCTTGAAAACGGTTTCAAACTCTAGGTACTAAACTGGTATATTTCCAGTTTAGGGCACTGGTCACAGAAATATGCTACATGTTGATCTATATTATTGGATAGAGCTACTCTAATGCTTGTCTTAAACATTATTTAACATTTTAGCATAATCCTAAATCAAGCTAGAATCTTAAATAGTTTCTGAATAATGTTCAGAAGTTTGCTTTTATTTCTAATTAGGATTACAACATTGTTTCTTTTCTTTTTTTTTCCCATTCATAATATGGGATACATCAAATATGTATCATATTTTATTTATTTTCGGGGTAGTTATTAATATGCCTTAGCCACTTTTGAGCAAATAGCTAGTTAATTTGGGCTAAAAGTTTACACAGATAAACGTAAGATCTATATCAACAGAAGTTACCCAAAACAATTTCACATGATATTAATTTAAAATTGTTTTTAAACTTTGGAAATTTCTTCCTATTTGTACACTTACCCAACTGTTACTACATTTACCTTTTAATGTTGCCTTTTAATAATTAGGTGTCTATGTTCAGTCACAATTCAAACGATTATTTGAGATATTGACAAATCCATGGCCAAGCATCTAATATTAAGACTTGTTTGCAATAAAGGTTCTCTCTTTACAGGTACTACAGAGCGGGTGTGTTTGATCCAGGGAACAGTTGAAGCGCTGAATGCAGTACATGGTTTCATTGCTGAAAAGATTCGAGAAATGCCTCAAAATGTGGCCAAGACTGAGCCAGTCAGCATTCTGCAGCCCCAGACCACTGTTAATCCAGACCGCATCAAACAAGTGAGTTTTTTGTTGAGAAAACAGAGGCACGTCAGCTGCTTAGAATTAACTGCTTTTTTGAGAAGCCTTAAAGATTTAACATGTAAAGAATCAACATTAAATGTATCTTAAGAGAATGTCAGAGGTTTTATTCTTCAAGAATTTACTGATCTTTTTTGCTTTATAGTTTATCTATTTATTATTCTCAGTAGGGTTTATACACAATACTTTATAAATTTAAATCAGCTATATGATGTATCCATATATTTGTCTTTTTATATCAGGGAACACTCATTTTAAATGGTCAGTCCATTTTAAATTTAAAATATGGGCCTATCCATAGATCCTTAAGATACATTACAATTTAGGAAAATTATGCCAATAAATTTCTTCACCTTTGTGCATCAAAAAAATCTGTTATGGATATCATTTGATAGTCATCTAAAGTCTACATAAAAAACTTGAAAATTACAAGAATTTTGTTGGTATTTTCAGGTGTTCCAACTATCCATTTTTAGCGTCTTTTTGCATAAATTTTACATGGCTTCTCTTCAACTATTATGTTTTGTGTAACTAAGGTAATCACATATGATATATATAATGATCTAACATCATCCCTGTATTGCATCACATTTTCCAAGAAAATTTAAAACTGGGAAAAACAATGTTCTCTAAGGAGAATGAATTAATGGGGCTAAGTACTTTTAAATCTATAATTTATTAAGTTATTTCTTGAGGAAGAAGAGAAGAGAGAAAATTAAATCAATGAGCATTCAGAGGAAATTTTCTCTTGTTTCTCCTGTATTTGAATGGTCCCCTTAATAAGATTCAGTGTCATGCAATGGTTCGTAAGCTGTATGTATTGTCTTTAATTATTTATTCTATGTGCACATGAACATACCCAGAATGTGTATTTGATTATGTACTGCATTTTAAAGGTTTTATTAGCATGAAGCTGGGATAGTTACATTGTTCTAAAATATTGAAAATTTAAATTATTTGAGCCATTGCAGATTACTGTTAATTACCACAAAATCATTTATTCTGTATACGTACATATCTCAGAGGAAAAAAAAGTATTATAGAAATTCTTTAGAGATTTTAAAAAAATCCATAGGACCTGGCTTCCATATATAACTTTTCCTGTAAAACTAGTTTTTCTTTAGTTACCAGCAGTGTGAATGAATATGGTTCAGAGGAAGAGATAGCTAAAAATGTAATGTCTCAAATAGATTTTCTGCATACAAAATGTTACAATTTTAAGTCCCGTGTCTCATGATCTAACAAGAAGTGTTCTGCATTGCAAGGGAAAGCTGTTTTTTTTCCCCTTTTTTCAGTAATATAAAATACTTATTCCTAGTTCAGTCAATAGGACTATGAGATATTGGAACTACAGTTCTACTCCAGTAATATGCCTAATTACTGCACAAAGGTATTAGGACAACAGATAAATACACTGTAACTTATTGGTTCTGCAGTTTATCATATGATTCCATAGTTTTATGACCTGAAGATATCACAACGTATTAGTATGTGCAACATACAGATATATAGATGTGTGTGTATATGAAGAGGTAGATATACAAATTTAACTATATGTATTTTATAATCAAACTTAAATGACTTCCCATTTCTTTTGTAATCAGGTGATATCTTTGCATGAAAAAATTACAAACTGTAATAATTGGCTTAGCAAATTTAATTTATGAAAACATATTCTCACAGCTTTTTTTCAAATTGGCATAAGATAGTACGTCCTCTAGAGTATGTGTGTGTATACACACCACATACACTCTTTGTGTAAAATAGGCAAAACACATATATTTTTTTTAAAGTTTCATAAAGCTTATATAACTTTTACAAACAGCAGTTATGACTTAAAACCTTGATATTATTTTGTTTCGGAGCAAACAAGTCGCAGCTTAATGAAACCAACCAAAGTAAAGCTTAGCATAAGTTTTGGGACAATAATCTTTATGAATTATCATCATTTTGTATTTGTAGAAACTTGAATATGGTTTCTATTTCTCTAACACAGAACCCTAGTGAAAAGCTAAAATGCTTCACAACATTTCTACCACCCAGGCTTGTGATTATAGAATTGAGTGGACAAATACAGCATTTTATGAAGGTAGCATTCCCCTAGCACCTCTTGACTTTTTAGCTTAAGTGTTCAGACAGATGCAGATGGTGTAGTGGTAAGCTAGCCCTGCTTTTCCATTGTCAGCCAGTGAAGAACTCTACCTTAGTGTATTTTGTCACTAGAGTCACTCCTATCTGTGGCAGGAATCACTCCTATTTATTTTCATGATCAGTAAACTGAAACACAAAAGTTCCATAACACAAACTGTATTGTCCCACTGTGCACATGGGCTTTAAAAATCCCAAACACAATATTTCAATGTAGGCATCCAGTTCCAGAATACTTCATCATTCCACCCCTTTCGTGTTCTTTCCAGCAGAAATTTCCCATGCTGTCCACCTGAGAGTTTTTGGAGCCATGTTAGAACCATGGTAGCCCAGGAAATATGTAAGAGGCAAAAAAAATTGTGAGCGGTATCTTTTATTGGACTCACTTCATGGTTGAGTTAGATTTAGACAATTCTGTGCATTTTTCTTGTGGTCTGAAAAAGAAGCAGGCACTGCTAGGTCCAAATAGTCTTCAGGGTTGTAAAATGAGAGAAGAGAGACATTCCCAGGAATAGCTAACAAAAATGAAAATTGTAGAAGAAAGGATAGCTTGCTCAGTGGGCGATTAAGACCATTAAGAAGGGACAAGGTCATAAATACCTGTGGATTGAAAAGAGATTATCAGAAATCAGGTAAATGATAATGAATTATGGAGCCAGTATACGTGTCCAGTCCTTGGTTTGTAGCTTATGAATTTTTGTTCCTACCTTTTCAAGGTGTTTTGTAAATACCCCTTGAATACAAGGATAATGAGGTCAGAAATTGAGTGGGGGGGTTTTTGTGTGACAACTGTTCTCCTACTGGTTAATGTGTCTCCGTCTTTTCTCTGTGATCATATAGCCTAGTGCATAGTTTTAGTTTAGTTTTACCCACATAGTTTCCATGAGTGCATTTGATGCACTGGATGAAATATACTATATACCCAGATATACCCATGCTAGGATAGTCTTATAGGATCTGTGGATTCTGATGGGTTTATTGTGGGAGATGTTGATTATTTTAGCTGTGTTGAAAGGTTCATAATGGGACAGGCTGAATCCCATTCAGTGTATGTTGATCAGTGAGGAGTTTGCTTCTTCTGATGACATGGGCAAAGCTAGGTTAAGGAGTTGTTTGAAAGCCAGGAATGGTGGGGCTAGCAATATTTCTCTCAAGGGCTGATATTTTTTGAGCATAAGCTTTAATTGTTTGATGATACTTTTTATTGGTTCAAGTGTAGGATGGTAGGTAACCACTAGAGATTTACAATCATGGGGGTTCCTCTTATATAGTAGCAGATCAGTGCCAGGTATTTGGCACCTCTTACAAAGAGATATATCTCTGCTGGAGTGTCCTTGTATAAAGGCAAATTTCAGGGTGGCAAGGTATTGCAAGTATTCTTAGAGCATTTTTTGGTAGTGTTTGAGGACCTGACTGTAGATTACAGCTTTTTGATGTGTTTGGGATGGTTGCTGGTTTTGTGGATTTAAATATGGTGGTCTGTGGGTTTTTTTGTGCTATAGTGGTTTGTGGGGTGTCATTCCAGTTGTGGATTGTGTTATCCAGAGAGTTAGTGTTAGTGTAAGAGTATTCCAGAGAGAATTTGTTTGAGATGTGATGGTTGTTAAATCTGTGATGGAAGGCAATAAGTGAGTCTCAGTGTTTGTTCCAGATATTGATGTTATAATCTATATAATATCAGTATGACTCAGGTTTGGTGGGGCAATATTCTAAAAAATTCTCCTCCAGGCAGCTCTTGAAGGTTTAGCATATTGAGGGGCCATCTTTGTACCCATATCTGTGTCCGTGGTTTAAAGGAATTACTGGTTATTGAAGATAAAGTTGTGGGTGAGGATGAAGTGCATGATTTGTGCAACTGGACAGTACTGAACACAGATGTTGACATTATAGCTCATTATAACCTACTGAATTAAGGATAAGCTCTTTTCACTCCACAGATGTTAATGACCCTCCCCTTTTTAAAGATTGTGATCTTCCACTAATCAAGCTGCCCTGTGTTCTGCAGCTTTATTGTCTGTTAGCTGCTCCTACAAATGCCTCTCTTCTCCTATTTCACAAACCTGTGCTTCATTCAAAAGCTTATCTAAGTCTATTCCAACCCTGCAGTTGGTCCACAAAAATTCTTACCTGGGAGTTGTCACTTCTCTATTATTATTAATCCTTCAATGGGAATTACCCCTCTTCTGCCCCACTGGCTCTAGCCTAGATAGTCATTAGGCAACCCCAACTACTAGTTAGGGTCCCTCAGTATGCCAAACTTCTACTAGCCTTGGTTCTCAGCATTCTTCAGATGTCTGGATTCAGTCCTCCATCCTAGAAGACAGAAGGCAAATACTTCTGGTACCCTACTTCTCTAGTACTCTGTCTCGTCTTACAGAGGTGCTGGACTTACTTTACTTACATGGGCCAGAAACTGTGTGTGTAGCGCCTGAATAGCAGGGCTCCAAGTTATTTCATTATGTGAAAATAGTACAGAATACCTTAAATTCACCTGAAAATTGATCAATGCCTATTATAAAGATGGATGTAATATTCTGTCAGCAGTTCACCTTGTTCAGAAGGTGCACAATTGCTTTTTGCATTAGCTGAGTCTTCCATACAGCTTTCACAGTCATTTCCAGGTAGACAATATTTCAGTAACTTATCTAGGAAATGATAGAACCACAAATGACCAACAAAACAAAAGCATGATGTCTTTTGGCCATCCAAAAGTACAAAAGGCATTTCTGCTACTAGCTGAACTGGAAATCCAGGCTAAAAACATATGGAAACTTAAAATTATCAGTGGAAGCAGCCAAATATTCAGCCCTTTTGTAAAACAATTTCCTGGG